GCCTCCCGAGCAGCTGGGACCACAAGTGTGCACCACCACACTCAGCTATTTTTTTTGTTGTTGTTGTTATTTGTAGGGATGGGGTCTCGCTATGTTGCATAGGCTGGTCTCAAACTCCTGGGCTCAAGTGATCTTCCTGCCTTGACTTCGCAAAGTGCTGGGATTACAGGTGTGAGTCACTGTGCCCAGCCTTTTGATTACTTTTGACACATTTGATAAGTAGTTGTTTCAAGTTTGTCAGTCCACACTTATTTAATTTTGTTGTATGCTCTGGAAGTCTATAGAAGAAGCTTGAAGTCCTGAAATCCTTTAAGAGTTAAAATTTAGTTACAGATATGAAAATTACATGCAAAATAGTAATGAATATTTTATTCTAGTATATTATTAAATGCTAAATTACGTGGTTATGATTAAGTGCTTTGATGTGTAGTTTGGAGGGTAGCATGATAGTGAGGTCCAGTATAGTTAGGGGTGCTTCAAGGATGAAATGCAGTTTGATCTGAACTTTGAAGAGTGGGTTGGGTCAAAGTTAAGGAAGATATAGGGCATTCCATGGAAAAGCAACAAGACACACAAATGCCCAGAGATTTGAGTAATTTTGATATATTCAATACCATAAGATGGCTACTTAAATTTAAAGCCATTTGAATGCCATTGGTGAACAATCAGTTTTGAATAGTAACTTCTGAAAAATCTGAACGATACTCATTTTAATATTTTTTGTTTTTAATATTTATCTCTTCAAATACTGGAAAACATCTTAATTAAAATTCTTGATTCGTAAATATGCAAAAACTGCTTTTCCTTTCCTAGAAACTTTGTCTAATAACTATTTTTTGATATTACTGTGCTTTTTAATCATCTACATATATTTTACATACTGTGTTTAATTGATTTCCAGTGAAATGCTCTTTAGATTATCTGAATCAACGTGGCTTTTTTCCTTTATTTGGGACTGGGATCCTTTTAAATCATATTTTGAAAATTTTCTTCACTGTAGGTTTGGTGGGGCTGCTGAAGTTAGGGGTTGAACGAAAAGAAATTTATAGTAAATTTCCTTTGAATAAACTAATATTTACTAACTCAGTGCCCACATGTTCTTCTTTTTGTGGTGTTCATGTGTTTAGTCCTGTTAAACAGTGGTTGTTTTCAAAAGAAAGATCAAAAGAAGAAAAATAATTTCCTTTATGTTATTTTGAAGAATCACAACCAGCTTTAAAAATTTTTTACACAATTATATTCACATTATAATAAAGGCAAAATACATTTATATGATTGTTTTTTAGGGAGCGGTATTTCTTAAAGTGGGATCAGGACCTGTGCATTGGAATCACTTGGGTTGTTCATCAATATTCAGATTCCTTGGCCCCATCATTGTGGAAGGTGGTATGGGGTGAAGGAATCTGCATTTTAACACACTTGCCAGATAATTCTACACATTGAAGCTTGAGAACCACTACTTTAGGGATGTATTGTCTCAAGTCTCTTCGCAGCAGTCCTACAGTGACATGCATTAAGACTTGGTAGATATTATCATTGGACATTGGTTTAGTCCATTCTCACACTGCTATAAATAAATACCTGAGACTGGGTAATTTATAAAGAAAAGAGGTTTAAGAGCTTATGGTTCTGCAGGCTGTACAGGAAGCATGGCTGAGGAGGTCTCAGGAAATTTACAATCATGGCGGAAAGCAAAGGGGTAGCAGACACATCTTATATGGCTGGAGCAGGAGGAAGAGAGAGAATGGGAAGGTGCTACACACTTTTAAACAACCAGATCTCATGAGAACTCACTCATTATCATAAGCAAGGGGAATGTCTGCCTCCATGATTTAATCACCTCCCACCAAGCCTCTCCTCCAACATTGGGAATTACAATTCAATTTGAGATTTGGGCAGCGACATAAATCTAAACCATATCAGGTATTTTGCCTCAATTGATGTGTCATTGGACCTGTTTTGTTCTTAAGAAATTACAAAATAATCTGGGCTTTTTTTCGTAATAAAATTAATTTAAAATTATATAGCCTCCTTAAAAAAACCAGAGATTCTTTGTCAAGATTTTTTTTTAAAGTTGGCATTATTGACTTCATATTAGACAGTAACCTATTATAAGTTTATTAATTTATGTTCCCTTTTACTCAGATGAATTGCTTACAGACTTCCACTTATGAAAGGTTAATATTTGTTAGGTTTTAGAAAGTTAAAAAGCAGTGGCTGGAAATGGTAAATTTTGCACCTTTCCATTGTTGTTAAGCATGGTATAACATGACTTACACGACTTAAGCCATTTGTTTTTATTTACTGCCTATTTTTACAATTTGGTGACATATTGCAAGTAATTCTTGTGGCTTTTATGGGGAAATCATGACTCTCTAGCCTCTTGCTGTCTGCTGCTTGGTAGTATTGAGCCACTTTGCACAGATTATGGGGCTAAGAACAGTGTGGGTCATCATTGCAATAAGGAACCCATGGTTATTGTCTGTGGTGCAGCATGGCAGTGACCACATTCGCATGAGTAAAGAACAAGAAACATAGTCCAACAAGTACGTAACAATACGTAAATAAGACTGTTTGGCATTAGTCCTGATAGGAAAAAATGGTACTCTTTGGAGCCTAAATGCTCTCAGGAAAATCTAAAGTTGTTACTAGGCTGGAGAGCCTCTCTTAGCATCTTTCAATTTCAGTTTGGCAGTGATGGAAAATCTCCTTTATTATAGTCAATGGTGAGTCATTTGTAGGTAACCACTTTCACATACTACAGTTTTGACTTGTTCTTTAATCCCTTAGGTTGAGTCAGGGTTTTTGTTTGTTTGTTTGTTTGTGTGTGTGTGTGTGTGTTTTTTTTTTTTTTTGGCTATAATGTGACAATAATTGGCATTTGAAATGAAAGCAACTGAAGTATGATTGATCCAGTGGTGATTATTAATTCATAAAAGCCTTGGTCAGATGTCTAATATGGACTTTATTAAGAGGTTTAAATGGCTTTGACAAATATATCTCTGCATTTTCATTCACACAAGTGGAGAATGAACTGGCCGTTCCAAGGAGCCACATACTAGACATGACTGGCATCTAAAAGAAGGGGTTCCTCTGCATCACTTCACAGAATTCTTGTAAACATTAAGTGAGATAAAACATCTTTCCTGGAGGAAGGAAGGGATCTAGAAGGAAGGTAAAGAGGAGCTCTCTTCCCTGCCCTGCCCCATTTATTTTATCCTTTTCCGTTTATTTCAGCATAAATATATTGAGCAGCTCTATTCTGGGCATTGTACTAGCAATGGGTATGCAGAAAAAATTGAGATTTAGCTTTTAATCAAAAGATTCAGCTTTATTGAGATAAAATAAATATACCATGTAATTTACCCATTTAATGTATACAGTTCAATTGTTTTTAATATATTCCCAGGTTTCACAAGATTTATCTTAGTTTGAGACTCATAAACATTTTTTACTTCACAATTCCTCAGGTCCAGAAGGAAGAAAAATCCCTTTGGTCCCATTCCTAAATCTGTTCCTTCCTTCAGGAAATAGTACCTACCAGTTGTTAAACACCACCTCAATATTGTGAGCCCAGCACTATGCCTTGGTACCTTACAAATATTATCTCATTGTGTGCTTTCAATAACCCTGAAAATCCATTTTTTCCCACCTTATATACAATGACAGTAATCCGAAATACCTAGCATTTGTTGAGTACAATTATTATGTCTTTTAATATATGTAGAAATTTACTGCTCTAGATATCATTTTCCTTTTCTCCCCTTTTCCCATTAGTTATTAACTATGTAACTTTTGCCTCATGCTTGTCCTTATGCTCTTGACTCTTACTGGGCTTCCTTGTGAAGGAAAGAGATAGAGGAGCAATTAGGATTTTGAGGAGTCTGATGGTGATCACAAAGACTGGCTGACTTACTTTACACACGTTTTTAAAAATATAAATATAGGGAGAGAGAATACCCTTGTGCAAACAGATAAAAGGTGAACACAAGGCTGCTGAAGGGCTACGGCAAAATAATAGCTGTTTCCAACCCTCAGTTCCAGTTTAAAGAAATATAAAAATATTTTATTTCTATGAACTTTTAGGTGTTTGTTTTCCACCTACGATTTGCTTTTTCCTTTTCAGCTGATCCACCTAACCCTCTTCGCAGTTAGCTAACTTCTCTATACTATGAAGTAATTCCTGCACACATATTTCTGCAATAACCCTGTCCTTTTTTTTAAAAAAAAAAAAAATACTTCTCACCTGAGGATAAACTTGTCCCTTTGTAAAATAAAATAAAAAAAGACATTTTTTTTAAAAAAATGCTACATGAAAAAATGTGCTGAAGTATCAGTGGTAAAGGTAAGGAATATAAAGAAACTTCTGTAACTTTGGACAGCTGTATAGCTAGAAAAACCAAAACAAAACAGTTTTCTCCAAACCCCAGCACACGAAAATATTCAGGTTGGCTAACTTTCTGGCACTGATTTAGATCATTTATATATTTTCTGGTGAACAATGAACATTGGCTACTGAAGCTAACTTTTCTACTGGTTCTAAATTAAGGACAGTGTTTTTTATGATGTACTTCTTTTTATGCTATGGCAAGAGTGTTGCTAATAAAAGCGTCCAATTAAAAGAAAAACTTTACCAAGCCTAATAATTAGTCATTGAATCTGAACTAATTTAAATGAAAGGTGTAAATGAGTAAGGGGTTTAAAGGTTTGTTTTTGAAGCACTTAAACTGCTTTATATTTAAAAAACCACACAGTTTTAATCTGCAACTTCACATTAGTTCCTTTGACAATGACTTCTTTAATGCTTTGTTTAACCAGTATTGTTTAATCAGAATTGTATTTTTTATTTGTCCTACTAAATTACTTATATCTTATTTTAATTAGTATATTTTATTTGTCCTACTAAGCATCATATACTGTCCTGAGTTTGGGATTTTTTTCTCCAGTAGCTTGCAAAGAAATGTATATTCTAATGGCTTTATTTTATTTTATTTTTCTAGGAATCAGAGAATAATAAGTTATGTTCCCTATATTCCTTCCGAAATACCTCTACCTCACCACATAAGCCTGACGAAGGGAGTCGGGACCGCGAGATAATGACCAGTGTTACTTTTGGAACCCCAGAACGCCGCAAAGGGAGTCTTGCCGATGTGGTGGACACACTGAAACAGAAGAAGCTTGAGGAAATGACTCGGACCGAACAAGAGGGTATGTGTGGACTTCACTGTTGGGTTCTTTTTTTTTTTTTCTTTTTCTTTTTCTTTTAAAGATTACAGGCCTTAAAAAAAAAAAGGTGGGATTTCAAGGGCAAGGGCCAGAGGAGTGCATAATTGGCACTAGCTAGGAAAAAGTTATTCAGAGGTTACCATGGTGATGGCAGATTGTGATCCATTAGCAGTGTTAAACAGATAGCTCCGTTTTTCTAAAACTTTGTGCATTTTGTTTGGTTCTTAAGATAACAAATTAAGATTTTAAACTGACCATAATCCTACTCTGGAAAAAGGTAATAAGGGATTTTTCCTAGCTGCAACTTTATTTTTCATTTTTTCTCCCCTATTTCCTTGTGGTGAATAGTATTTCTTTATAAAAATGTCAACTGTTTAAAAGACAAAATTAAAAAGATTTCTTTTCATTTTTATAAATATATTATTTTATCTCCTAACATTGTAGAATGGAGATTAGAGGGCTTCAAATATTGTTAAAACTGAAAGTATATGAGTGACTTTTTTGATTCATGACATCTCTTGCAGCATCCCACGTCTGCCTTCTCTACTCTGTACAAGAGTTCACTCAGGTTCAGGTACATCGTAGAAAACAGAAATGAAGGAAGACTCTCCAATAATATTTTTAAACAAAGTAAATCAAGTCTAAGTGATGATTATACTATGTTGCACTTTCAGTTTTTATGCACAGATTTTAGGCCTTAAAATGTAGAGTAATTAATAGCTCTGGATTTATTACTAGCATTGCAAGTTAACTTGATACTTTTGTGATACTATAGACAAATTGGGATTTGATATTAGGGAATTTTTCATGTAACTTAATTTTATTCCTTTGAGGGCTCAAAAACTTAAAAGATTCCAATTAATTTTTGTAGAAGTCTTTCTAAAATATATTGTATGCTTCCCTGTTTTACTAATCAGGTAATATGACACAAAGTGTTTTTTTTTTTTTTTTTTGATTATCTAGGGTCATAATACAGTAGACTAGGAACTTCAGTACCCTTCAAACAATTATGTGACCCTGGGTAAATTCTTCAATCTACTCGAGCCACAAAATTTAAAATTTGGTTACTGACTTTGCAACTTAAACATTTTGAGGATTAATACTAATAATGAACATGTCTTTAATTAACTATAAACTATGTAAATATTAACTATAAACTATATACATTTGACTTATTGTATTATATTATATATAATATATATAACTGATATATTATAAATGTCAAGTATTTTGCTGTGCTATAATAATGCCCCTAGTGATCATTGAGATTATTAGTACTTTGATTTTATGGCTATTTTTCTTTTCAATTATGAAACTTAAGTGTTCTTGTGTCTGCTTGATATATATATCTTTTATGTATACGTATATTTTTTGGGTATGTGTGTTGGTTTCTCCTTCAATATCAGGTTGCAGGCTATTATTTCTTGCTTAGCTGTAAATAATTTCTAATTTTCTCCTATTTACTTATAGGTTATAAAATTAGATAATCAGGACATTCTGGACTGTATTTGAAATATGAACAAGTATATTCTGGAGGTGTTGCTGAGAGATTCTGGAAAATACATATGATCTTTAGTGCACAAACTACATGCTGACACTTTTGGCTTCTGAGACTTTTTTTCCCACGTTCTTGTTCTGAATAATGGGGATTGCCAGATAATTATCTACTAAATAAGTAAGATCACTAGATTACTTTTAATTGTGATCCACCAAAAGATGGTTTTAGTTCTATAAGTAAGTGGTTTTCAAAATACTTTGGTGGACTCTTTAATGTAAAAATGAAGACATTGGTGATGATTTTTTTTCCTGAACTACTAGGGAATTTTAAATCATTTTTTCCTTGCAAGTAATGGTTAATTTTCTATTTGTCCTCTTTGTTACCATGTGTTACAGTTGATTTTGTACAAGAGAGACACTTACAGAATGAGACAGTAGTCCTTTAAGAGTCATTTATTACTGTATTTCTACTAGTAATGAATGTTTTCATACTCTACAGATCTTTTTCTTTTGCAATATGTATGTTTTAAAAATCAGAAATTCAGGCATCTTTAGTATATATTAATGTAAGTAATATAAATATATTAAATGCGGATATGAAATGACCAAAAACATGCTCATCAAATTTGCCAATCTCACAAATCTGAAACAGTGAATATAATACATTAAAGAAACAAAGCTTAAAACGTTTTGACAAAGTGAAACTATGAACTTAAAAATAACCTACCAAGATAAAATTTAATAGATCTTATTATCAAGTTCAGAAGTTGTGACCCAAATTCCAGCTGCACAAGTAATCACTGAAGAAAATTCAAATAACAGCCAGATGAATTATAAAAATAATAAAAAATAAAAACCTAAGAGTTTTAAGTCACAGAAAATGCAATAGGGTCAGCATAGTGAAGATTGCCAAAAAAATTGCCAGTGCTATTTCAGTCAGTATCACTAGAAGTACAGTATGATGCATTCAAGAAGTGGTAGTCCCACTAAAAACTGCCTGCTCAATAGCATGTTTCTGAAGTATTGTGTTGAGTTCAGAATTACCACACTTTAAAAGGAACTCAAAGGCATTGGAATATTCTCAGAGAACAACTGGTATAATCACAGAGATGAAATTATATAATAAGAAGGATGGTTGAAGGAATTAGTAATACTAACCTCAGAGAAAACAAAATCAAGGATGACATGATGGTGTCTTTAAAGATTAAAGTCACATGGAGTAGGGATTGGGTTTATACTGTCTAGCTTCCTGGGGATAGAATACAGATCAGTGACAAGAAGTTATGAGGAACCTGATTATGGTTAATAAGACCAACTAGCCAACAGTTGTACCTCTCTATATGGGATATTCTCCTTTGGAAGATAGTAACTTATCTATCCTTAGAGATATGCAGCAATCTCTGTTGTCATATTAATAGAGGTGTTGTAGAGGACAGAAGTTTGATCTTTTCTCCAATGCCAAGACTATGAATTTTTATGAACATTCTTATAAAATATTCCACAGTTTATGGTATATCTTTTTTTACAGTACTTTCCAAGGACTACATAGTATTGTGACTATTTTTCTACATATTCTTCTTCTTTGAAATGCATCTTATTAAAACTCAAGGATTCTTAATTTTTCTTCCTGTGAATTCCTTTGATAGTCTAGTGAAGCCTACAGATCTTTTTTAAAAATTATTTTAAATGCATAAGGTAGAATAAACAGGTTACAGAGAAAATGAATCATATTAAAACAGTAAATAGGCCAGGCACAGTGGCTCATGCCTGTAATCCCAGCACTTTGGGAGGTCGAGGCGGTGGGCAGATCTTGAGATCAGGAGATCAAGACCATCCTGGCCAACATGGTGAAACCTCGTCTCTACTAAAAATACAAAAATTAGCCGGATGTGGTGGCACGTGCCTGTAGTCCCAGCTACTAGGGAGGCTGAGGCAGAAGAATCGCTTGAACCTGGGAGATGGAGGCTGCAGTGAGCTGAGATCACGCCACTGCACTCCAGCCTGGGTGACAGAGTGACACTCTGTCTGAAAAATGAAAACAAAAACAACCAAAAAACAAAAAACAGTAAATAATGTAAAACATTTGTGATATGGTAGAATATGCTATTCTACTAATGTATTTAAAAAAACGAGGTCTTATAGAGGGCCTAACAGTATAATAATTTTGAAGTAGTGATAAGTGTAAAAGATATTTTGAGATATCTCCAAGTATAATGTGATATAAAAATATCAGTTGTGATACTAATTGGTGACAATGTCATAGGAACCACAAATACAGTACAGTTTGTTACTTGCATCCATAATTTAAGGAAATGTAAATTTTCAATACAGGCTAGTGAAAAATAATTTTTCCATAAAAGTTTAGAGACCCCTTGAATTCTATCTATGTCTGCTGGAGTCTGTGGACCATGAGTTAAGAATCCCTATGCTATAGGTGGGAACTGAACAATGAGATCACTTGGACTCGGGAAGGGTAACATCACACACCGGGGCCTATCATGGGGAGGGGGGAGGGGGGAGGGATTGCATTGGGAGTTATACCTGATGTAAATGACGAGTTGATGGGTGCTGACGAGTTGATGGGTGCAGCACACCAACATGGCACAAGTATACATATATAACAAACCTGCACGTTATGCACATGTACCCTAGAACTTAAAGTATAATAATAATAAAAAAAAAATAAATAAAATAAAAAATAAAAAAGAATCCCTATGCTAGATGATATGGTACACCCATAATGAATAAAACAATGGTCTCTAACTTTTAGAAATTCATATTCTAGTAAGAGATATAAGGCATATAAAAATGAACTCTAATTCAGTGTCTAGTATATAATAAATTCCATAGAGCTATATAGATAAAATATTATAGGAATTTACTAGATAGAAAAGTTACTTCTGCCTTGGAAGCCATTGGAAACTTCTATAGGGAATTAGGTCTTAGTTGGTCTTGGAGAATGAAAGGATTTATAGACAGAAATTGAGAGGAGAAACATTTCAGGCAGAAAGAATAGGTAGAGAACTTTAAAATGGCCAACAGTTCAGGTTCTAAATTTAAAAAGAAGATGCATATGGGATATAAGACTGAAAAAGTAGGTTGTGTTCAGATCATGGAGGTCCTCTGACTCTTGCCTAAGGAGTTTGAACTTTACACTGAAGGTGATGGAGGAACCACTGACTGTTTTTTAGCATAATAAGGTGATGGATTAGAGCTTTCTTTCCGGAAAGTTAATCTGGCTCCACTGTTTAGGATGAATGGGAGCAGGGAGAGACATTAAGGAAATTGTTTCAAGCTAGAGATAATGAGGGTCTGCTGAACGAAGGCAGCAGAAGTGAGGAAGGAAGGGGGATGCATATGGAAAAGATATTAGGAGATAGAATTGTTAAGAGTTAATGTTTAAGTGTAGAACCAAGACAGAAGAATGGTTCAAAGAGTGCTCAGAGTTTTTAAACTCTGGGCAAATAGGAATGTAGTAATACGAT